AAAGCATATTGAAACCCTTGCTCTTTTATATCAACTTAAAATGATCCAGTGCCAATGATCAGAACTAGTTTTTGAGATGCTTTTCTGTCAAATGTCTCTTGTTACACAATCTTGGCAAAAACCTTAAACCTTCTGTGGTAACTGAGTTTGTTTTTGCCAAATTTTTATTCCTTCAAGCATCACTTTAAAAAATCATTTCAATTAGCAACTTTTCCTTTCCTTTGGACTTAGATTATCTTGTGTGCATTTTAACTTGTTTATAACCTTGGGTCATCAACATGTATGTTAATTGTCATCCTGAGCTCTAAAGAATGGTGATGTTGTCAGCACTTGCTTGTTCCTACTCTAAGTGGTTCTATACTCCTAGACTAAATTTTAAACTCCTGTGCCTTCTTTTAAATATATATTTTTAAGTTTCCATCACTGTTATTGTCATTTTTGTATTATTATGCAGTAGTGTTCTCCTACCTTCTAGCTATGAACTTCATGAATTTCATAACCACAAAACCTAATTATTAACAATTGTGTATAAAGCAAAAATAGAGATGCAGTAAGGCTCTGTGCTGAAAGTGAAGCAGTTGGGCAAGTGGCTAGCCTGCTTAGGAAGCTGGGGAAGATAACCAGACTCTGCCTTGGAGTGTCTGCAGGTGGGATGGCTGCCTCTGCTTCCCGACTCTGGCCACCTGCTAAGATGAGGCCAGGGAGGCAACACCTCATGGCTCCAAGGTGCACAGCTTCTGGCGAGGACCTGACCCAGGCCTCACTACTGCTAATATTTTGAAATATTTCTCCCCTAACTGCTCAATATGTGATTTTGCAATTTCACTAAAAATGAAAATCACACTGTTTATTTATTTGAAAGGCAGAGAGAGAGAGAGAGAGAGAGAGAGAGGCAAAGAGAGGTCTTCCATCTATTGATTCAGTCTTCAAATGGCTTCAGCAGCCACATCTGGACCAGCCGGAAACCAAAAGCCAGTAACTCCCATGTAAATGGGAGGGGCCCAACACTCAGACTGTCTTCCACTGCTTTCCCAGGCACATTATCAAGGTGTTGTTGAATTGGAAACAGAGCAGCTTGACTGGAACTCTGACACTGTGATATGGGATGCTGTCATTGTGACAGTTTAACCTGATGCACTGCAACCCCTATGCCATGTCATAATGATTTAGCCAATCCCTCATTACTGAAGAACTGTTTTATATTTTTGCTGTGACAAAATAGTGCAGCTGTAAAGAGACTATGTAAAACTTGGTGTTCCTTTACACTGTATTCCTAGGACTGGCGTTACTGCATCGGAGGACATCAGCTCCATTGAGGAGTTTGAGATATATTGCCAAGCTGCTCTGAAAAATACCTGCACCAGTATACAGTCCCCCAACTGATATATGAAAGTGTTTCCTTCCCTAGCTCTGGATATTCTAATGAAATGTTTTCCAATTTCAGGGCTGGTTGGGGACGGAGAATTTTGCCTTAATTCTTAACCAAAACTTCTGGAAAAGTTAATGTGATAGAACCCTTTTGGTAAGAGATAAACCTGAGCAGATGTCCCATGAACACTCTCCGGTGTTTGCTGCTGTTGCTGTTTAACATTATTTATTCATTTGAAAGGCAGAATTACGAGGAGAGACAGACACAGAGAGAGTTGCTGTCTGCTAATTCACTCCCCAGATGGCTGCAACAAACGGCCAGGGTTGTTTCATCTCGATCGTCCACATGGGTGCAGGGGCCCAATTACTTAGCCATCTGCTGCTTTCCCAGGCATATCAGCAGGGAGCCGAATTGTAAGTGGATCAGCCAGAATTTTAATGAGCACTTACGTGGGATGCAGTGTTGCAGGAGGTAGCTTAACCTATTGTGCCAAAATGTTGGACCCAGGTGCTCTACGTTTCTAAGATTCCATTTAGTGCACTGTTTGGAGGAGCATATTTTACATTAATACTAATGCCAAAATATAAAAATCTTGTATTTTGGGAGTTTCATGTTAAAATCTTTCAATATTGTATTGTTAGAGACTGTAAGCCCTATAGTAAGCCAGTGCAGTTGCATAGTTTGTCATCTGATGTATCAGATAAAGACAACTTTAATTTCTCCTTTCATTTGAAAACAGCAATATATTGGTGGTCTGAATTTGTTTTTGAATTCCATTGTTAGCAAATATCTTCGGGAAAAAATATTTGCATATTGAATGTTGCAGAAAAACATTTTGAGAACCTGTATTCAGAAACAGGAATTTCATCCACTCGGCTAGCAGTTCAACATCAAATTTAGGAAAAATTTGGCATTAAAAAGTGAGAATGTGTATTGCTTGATGCTTTCCTTGTTAAATTTAGGGTGCCAAGAGAAGCCATTTTGTCCTGATTGCTGGAGAGCCAATAAGAGAACCTGTTGTACAACATGGTAAGCCACAGACTAAGATAAACTTCTTGATTAACTTCATTTAGAGTTATTATCCATATATTGTGTTATTGGGAAGAATATCTGAAGTTCTGGCCTGTGTCTCCATCCACAATGGGAGGATTTTGTTTCAGTTCTCCATTGTCAGAGGAAAACATATACATGGCATTTGTTCATACAGCACTTAGAGCCATGGGTAGGACAAAACTAGTGATTTTCTGTTCAGTTTATTTAAACCAGAAATAGATATAGTTCACCAGGAATCTGAATGATCATTTTTAACTTTACCAAAAAGTAAGTTGTCAGGTTCCTGCCTTAGTCTCTTTTCTGTTTTTTTTTTTTTTAAGATTTATTTATTTTGTTTTTTACTTGGAAGTCAGAATTACAGAGCAAGATTACACATCTGCTGGTTCATTTCCTACATGACTACAGTGGCCAGGGCTAGACTGGGCTAAAGTCAGGAATTAGGAGGTCCAACCTAGTCTCCTATGTGGTACAGGGAACCATGCATTTGAGCCATCTTCTGTGGCTTTCCACAGGTCATCAGCTGAGGGCTGCATTGCAAGTGGAACAGCCAGGACTCAAAACGGGTGCTCAGATGGGATGCTGGTGCCACAGGCAGGGGATTAGTGTGCTACAGCCCTGCTCCAGCTCCATTAGTCCCCTTTCTGTTACTATACCAAAATGTCTGAGATAGGGTAATCTACCAAGAAAAAGATATTATTCGGGTTCACCATTCTGGAGGCTAGAACATCGAAAAGTTTAGAGCCAATGGGACCTTGTGCTGCTTCATCTGATTTCAAAAAGTAGACAAGCCCATGGTGGATGGTGGTGGGCGGAGTATAAAAGAGGCACAACCCGCTCAGTGAGTTCACTTGGCAGTGGGGGAGGGGAGGGGCTCACTGTGTGACAGCCTGCTCTCGCTGTGGTCGTGAGAACACCCCTGTGAGAACAGCATCAAGCCACTCCACTCCTAACGGCCCCACATTCAGCACTGCCTTGGCAGCAGTCACACTTGACTGTGAGTTTTGGAAAGGAGCAAACATAGACTACAGCAGATGCTGTCCTTGTCATTGGTTTTGTTCTTTGTGAAAACTATGAACTTCTTCGGAATAGTATTTCTTTGGTAGCTTCTACAATTTTTATATTATTCTCTTATTTTTAAAAAATGAGTGGAAATAATTGTCATGTCTTCGAAGTAGTGTGTAGTTGGAGCACAAAATCCTGGCCTAAATATTTATGGCAGTGACTTTACTTTTTTAAGCCTCGACTTCCTCATCACATTGTTGTTTGATTAAATTAGAAATGTCAAAATATTTAGAACTCAGCTTATTATTTAGGTAAATACCTGCAAAGCACAAAATATGTCTAGGTCATATTAAGTTATTCAATCCAACATGTATTACTTTGCCTTTCACGAGTTCCCAGCAAACCCAAAAGTTTCAGATAAACCCCAGCTAATAATAAATTTGAAGAACCAGGACTGCTTTTTAAAATATTCTTCTTTTGTTCCAACAATAGCTAAAGGGTAATCTTAGGTCAGATCCAGACATCCTACAACAGCTGCCCCCGTGCCCAGGCAAACAGCTTACCTCGTCTCCACACATCTCTGCTGGACCGCAGTGACTTTGACGCTCATCGTTTTGCGCCATTTTGTTTATTTTGGTTTTTAACTTTTCAAATCCAGAATTGTAAGTTTCTCTTCTACCTGTACATGTTTAAAGACAGCCATGACCATCTCTCAACTATATGGGAAGCAGAATTCGTTTCCTCAATTAGGCCTTGCTTCTCTTGTCTTATCTGCCAATTCCTTGTGCCAGGCTGTTCTGCTGTTCAGCTGCGCTTGAATTTTGTTTCAAATTAAGAATTATAAATACACACCGTGTCTAGTGGTAGAGGAAAACATGGTCATCCAGAACTTTCTGAATGTCTCCTTCTGCCCTAGGTCCATTTGTGATGAACACAAATGAAGAGATTTCTCAGGCCATTCTTGATTTCAGAAATGCAAAAAATGGATTTGAAAGGGCCAAGACCTGGAGATCAAAGATTGGAATCTTGTGAAGAGCACAAGAGAAGGTCTTTCTGTTTAGGATTTTGCCATTTGTGACTTCCAGCCAGTCAAGACGTTCATTTTTGGAAGCCAACTTAACTGGTACTTCTGAACAATGCCATGTGAAAATGACGAGTAGTTTTTGCAGCAATGCATTTAGGATAAACGTCAGTAAACCTCATCATTGCTTCTTCAAAAACCAGCCTTTTTCAGTTTGACCTAAATTGCTAAACTTCTATTAAAAATGTTCTGAGGGCAGGCGTTTGATGCCCTCATCCCCTAGGAAAGAGCTTGGCATGGAGTCTGGTTCCTGACTCCAGCTAACTACGGATGTGTACCCATAGTTACAGAGAACAGAGAAAATCACTGGTATCCTACATGGGTGCAGTTCCCAAGGCTTTGGGCCATCCTCAACTGCTTTCCCAGGCCACAAGCAGGGAGCTGGATGGGAAGTGGAGCAGCCGGGACGCGAATCAGCACCCATATGGGATTCCGATGCCTTTAAGGGGAGGATTAGCTAATTGAGCCATTGTACCAGGCCCTCTTTTTCTGTCTCTTCCTTCCAAATAAATACAAATTTTAAAAATGGTCTTAGGAATGTTTGCTGTTTTGCACATGCACATGGACGTTTTGTTTGTTTTGTGCCTAAGTGGGGCTTTGAGGCCTCTTCGGTTGCTTTCTGTGTGTCACTGGCAGTAGACACTTGAGCATCTGAGGTCCCCTGCTAAGCGACGCTGTTGTTACACAACAGTCCAGACTGTGTGCTGCGGTTTCATGTTACAGGTTATCTGAGCATTGGAGGCCGTTTTTAAAGCTGCCCTGCCATGCGTGGGGACGCAGCAGGATTACAGCCAAGACTTCCCTGCACTCTGCCAAAATCTGTGGCAGATTGAAGACACATGCTTCTGCAAGCTTCCATGAAGATTGTTAAAAAAAAGTTGTAATCCAGAGGTGGGTAACAGCTTTCTGTGGCTGCAAGCGTTGGTGACCACACCACGTCCTTGCAAGGCAACTTGAACCTGAGGCTTAGGTGGAAGACTTTTTAAAAAATTTTCCTGGGTGTGAAATGAATTTAGACTGCTTTCTAATTTCAGATGGACTATGTGTCCGTCTCTTCATTATTTTTGGAGTGTGAGAACATTTTAGCTTTTTTTTCATCTCTTCCTGTCCAGATTGTGCAAAAACATAACCTTGCCTAATTTGAAGTCATTTCATCGGATTGTGATCACAAGTGATTATTTGCTTTTTTTCTGTGTGCAGTTGGGAGTTTTGAACTTTCTTTCTGGAGAATGCTTTTTGAACCCATTTGCTCTATCTGCTTGATGCCAATTGCTTAGTGATCCAGGCACCTTAAAGTATTCAGAATGTACCGAGAGTGGGCAGTGGTGAACCTCTGTCTGTTGTCTTACATCCAGCTGCTGCACGGCTCCGTTGGCCACGCACCTTCAAAGGTAAGTGAGCTCAGTGATTCCTGCCATAACGCCTCTTTTATTGGGTTATGTAGAGGGCTTGCTTTCTCTGTTTTCTGTATTTCTGAAACAATGATAAAACTTAAAGACATGCATAGTAATGGACAGGGTATTGACTGTTTTGTTTCATACACTTACTAACCTTCATGTTATGATAATCTGAAGATGCTTGCTTTGGGGTGTTTATGGAGTTCTAACACAGTCTTGCTTTCAGCTCTATCTGTGCATGGCACAGTGGTTTCCTTGTGAGGCCCTGATTTGTTTTGATGACACACATAACTGATTATTTGTGACCAGCAAAGGCTGCTTCCTTTATTCTGTAAAACCGAAAGTTCCAATGCCTTTAACAGATGTTTTTTTATTTGGTCTTCCAAATTACCAATTGTCACCATCTGAAAATACATTTTCTCAGAGGCGGTTTTGATTTGCTTTGCTTTGCTTTTTAAAACCTGTGTAGCATTCAATAGTAATCAGATCTTTGATTCTGTGAGCAAACAGCATGCAGAACCCAATGAATGGAAAGTGATATAAAAGGAAATTAATTGGGCATTACTGACTGCTAAAATAATATTTCACCCATTTATGCATTACATAGGTTATGTACTTTTAAGCTGTGTATTTTGAAAATAATTCAAATGTAAATGTTTCAACTGAAGTGTTGCTAACTCATTTATTTGGGAAATTTATAACATAACAGACCATCAAATGTGGGCATGACTTGATGTAACTGTTTTAGGACATGTATTTTCAGCAGGGGTAATTAATGTCTTTACCCAACAGGAGAAAATTGAGTTTGGGAGTAAGAATGTCTTTCTTGTGCTGTGAAGCATAGCTACCCATCAAGTAAAGAAAAGGCTATGTATGCCTGTGCAGAACAGGAGGGCTAGAGAGACTCCTGGTGGGTATTAGCCCTGTGCTGAGGGCAGGCACTATTAGTAAAATGCAAGGTTGGATAACACCGTGTTTAGGGTAAAGTTGTCTTGTCTGTCAAGGAGTCTACATATTAATGACTTTCTGAATTCTAACTGTACTTGAACTGCTCTTCACTGCCACTAGTGTACTGTTTGGATCTCATTGCTACATTGTAGGTGAAAGGAAATCCCATTTTGGGCACAGGCGGCAGGGGGAAAGAAGTCTGATCAGCTTCAAGCAGTTAAGACTTTTCAAACTGTACGCTCTGATTAAATCCACGACACAGAAATCCTCTGGCTGCTTTGGGTCCATTGAGTATTAAAGTATTTCCAGTCAACTTTAAGGTGTCAGTTTACTTCATGGTGTAAGAGATGAAACTCAGAAATATGTAATATTTGGGCCTGGCACAATAGCCTCGTGGATAAATACTCACCTTGCTTGTGCCAGCATCCCATGTGGGTACTGGTCCGTATCCTAGCTGCTCCATTTCCCATCCATCTCTCTGCTTGTGACCTGGGAAAGCAGTGGGGGATGGCTTGTATGGGAGACCAGGAAGACCAGGCTCCTGGCTTTGGATGCACTCAGCACTGGCCCTTGCAGCCACTTGGGGAGTGAGCCAGCAGCCAGAAATTCTTTCTCTCTGTCTCTTCATAAAATCTGCGTCTCGAATAAAAATAAATCTTTTTTAAAAAAGTAATATTCTTTAAGGGGTCAAATATTTAAAAGTGCAGAAATACCAAATGTTTGTTAGGTGTTCTAGGTACAGTGAAGTTTTAAATTTATTGTTTTCATAGAAAGTTGTTTAGTTGGGCAATGAGGAAAGCAGTTGGTGTTTTCAGGCAACAGAAAGCATGATTCTATGTGGCCTAATACTAGGTTTGCCAAGTTCTTTTCTATCAGACTTTCCTTTTGAAAATGAAGCTGTGTATACTGGGAATGTATCCGTCCAACCCTCAGCTAAATTATTTCTGCTAGTAAGGCGACAATTGCCTCTGCTTAGGCAGATATTTCGGTCTCAATGTGAGTAGCTGGTGACAAATAATGTGGTATATTATAGTGTGCTTTTTTTTCCCTCTCCCCCACCCCACCCTTAAAAAAAACTGGTGGGTGGTTCCTATTCTGTCCCCTCACTGTCCTTCCTCCGCTTCCACTGGGCACAGTGCTCGGCACAAAAGTTATTGGAAATGTTTTTTATTAAGTTCTTCTTCATGTTGACCTTGAAGTTAAATGTGTTGAATTACTTGCTTTATTACACCAATCTGTTTTAACATAGCCAGTCACTTGTGAGTCTAGCTGGTGGCTGGTGCTTTCATATCATTGTAGTACATGAGTGGCCTCCAGGGTACAATGGAACTCCCTGTGTCTCACATCATGAATATGGTAGTCCTTGTGTGACTTAGCTTTCAATTTGAAATTCAATTCATGTCTGTAGATGACTCCTGGCAGAGACCATTTCTAGAAAAGGAATATATTTGTACACACAGGTGATTCATGCAGAACTGGATGGAGTAAAATCTGGTGCTCTCACGTTTATTATTACAACATTGCATAGCGAATACTAGAGAAAAAAGGGACACAAATGACAGCAAAATCGTTTCTGAGCACATTTTCAGGCATGTTTGGTGTGAGCACATTTTCCTTCCATGTGCGATGAGCAGAGTGGATGGGAAGTATATACAATTAGAAATGTGATTGAGATGAGATGAGACAGAAGTGAGATTAAATATCTCTTTTTGATGACTTTATGGCAGTAAGTTCACTTTTCTCTCTCCCTTGCCTCTAGTTCTTACAGGCCTTACCAAAACACTGGGGATTATAAGGCAAAGACAGCTTAGCTCCCATTGTGCCATGGAAGCCTGGGCTGGTTGTGTTGTCCTAGTATGTAAACAATCTACTTTATCCTCCTTAGAATTTTCCAATATTTGACCATTCATTCTTTTTTTTTTTCAATGAGTCTTGATGGAACACCTAGAATGTCCTAGGCATTGCTCTAGGGGCTCAAAATGTATTAGGAAATAAGATAGTGTTTCAACTCCCTTGAGACTTATGTTCCACATATGACAGGTGGAGATAGACCACTTAAAAATCTGTTTGGGGAGGGGATGCTGCCAGGTGGGTAGGTTAGACCTCTGATTTGGCCATGTAAGTGCAAAGTCCTGAAGGAAGTGAGAGACAGAGACCACTGTCAGTGCAGTGGCTGTGGTGGCTACAGGGAGTTGGCTGGGGGTTAGCTGAGGGAGCAGTGTGGCTAGAGGCCAGAAGTACAGTCATGGAGGTCAAAGAGGTAGCCAGGGCATATCATGTCAAGTGTGGCTATGCTCCTATAGAATATAATGGGCATGGAAATTTGAATTTTATACCACACATCATGACATCTTTTGTTTCAACCATTTAAAAATGTAAATAATCATTCTTAAGTCAGAGGTTATACCACAACAGGCTACAGCCTGTGTTGGGTCTACAGGTCATAATGTGAGCCAAGTGATATCTCATTACACTACTTATCTTCTTTATGGTATGCACCTGTACTAGACTTTTCTTATTTGCTCATGTGTCTGCTTATTGCTTGTTGTTATCCACTAAGATAAAAGCTTATTGAGAAGAGGAACTTTTAGTTGTTTTGCTTACTGCAGTATTCCTGTAACCTAGGACAAAATCTGTAACAGAGTGGTTACTGAAACAGTCCAGTTTACTGTTTTAATAAGACTAATTGCTGATATCCAAATCCATGCATGTTCAAGTCCCTTGCACAAAATAGCATTATATTTTCATATAACTTGTGTATATCATCCCATACTTTAAATCCCCTCAATTACTTACTATGTCTAATGTCATGTGCATATCATGGAAATGTTTGTTATACTGTAGTGTTTAGAAAATAATTGTGAGAAAGAATCTGCACATGCTCAGTATAGATGTAATTTGATGGGGGTAGGGAGATGTTTTCAGTTTGCTATTGGTCGATCCCTTGGATATGGAACCTACAGAAGGATAACAGGCAAGTGGCCATAGGAATTTGAGATGTCAAGTTGTGAACTACTGTGTTAATAGTCACAAACATCTACTCTCATGATGGCTAGTGTGATTTCATGATTTTTTTTTAATTCTGAGGCATTTTTTCCTAAGGCAGTATATTCACCATGTACTGTTTTGCTGTGAGCATAGGCTAGGATTTGAACATATGTTTCTAAGAGTCCTGTAGTGTGCTTCCAGTCACAAGCCATTCTCTAAGGTACTCATCTATAGGAATTGAAGTTTTAGAAGGAATGCACCTTAGCTCATATTTCCACTCTTGATGGAAAAAAAGAGATGGATACAGCAGCATGTGGCTGCATAGCTAGTCTAGACAAAATTGAGTGCCATGAAGCCTCTTCATTTCTGAGAACCTAAGATTTGCTTCATATGTTTTATCTCCACTAGGTGGTTTGTGAATACATAGTGAATAGTTAGATACATTATTAGTCAGGCTAGGCTAGGATGTGCTGCAATAATAAGCATCCCCTCAAAGACAACAGAGGTTTATTTCTTGCTCATACCATATGACCATCCTGGCTCCAGGGTCAACTTCACATCAAGGTGAAGCTGGCTGAACAACTAAACCTTGAATATTGCAAATCACTATGACAGAAGGAGAGAGAATTCTGGAGAATCATGTAAAAAGTTTAATGCTCTGCCCTATCAGGAACACACATCACTTCCAGCCATAGCCTCCTTGGCCCATTGCTACATTAGGTCACAAAAGGCCAGGATGTGCAGTCCTGCTGAGCACTTAGGAGATGTAAATCTGGAAATACTTGGTGGATAGTATTTAATGACAGTCTTATACAATTTTGGTCACTGAAATGCCTCTGCACATCTCTTTGACTATGGATTGTCAAAGCCATACCCTGCCTTACAACAGTGCCGAAGAATGAACTGGCTGGAGCAGAGTGAGACAGAGTAGAATGAGGAAAATCCATTGATTTCCATCTTGCCTTCTTTAGTGTATGGAGACCTATGCTTACTTTAAGAAATCAGTGTCCATGTTCTGAGTCACTATAGTGGGGATGTGGAACACCATGAATGGGCAT